TGTAAGGATGGAGAACTTGTAAAGCATAATATACTTTGCCATAACTCTTCTCTCTCTCTCTTCTCTCTCCTTCCCAGTACCATATAGCCCTTTTCACCAATGCAATCCGTTTTCACCCTATCGCACATAAGATCTTTGATTTTTCAGGCTCGGCGCCCGTTGCAATTCAGAGGAAGGTTTCGAGACTACCGAACAGTGCATTCTATCAATTTCAATCAATCTTTTAATGCTTCAAAGTTTCTAAACTGAATATCGATCAATTTTCCAATATCCCAATCGAATACTATAGCTTGCGATTTCCCCGGTTCAGCAGAGAGGGTTTCAGAGAAGCCGTTCATGAAATTTGATGTCAGTCAAGTAACAGCTTCGAGTGCTTTAGAGAATGCCTATGTAATTCCCGAGTCTTCTAAAAAGACTCTTTTCTTCGCTGAAAGTCAAGCTTATATTAGGACAACGTCAAAATAACAAATAAGAAACACGAGTAACCCTAGGCTCACGGTAAACTTACTCGACGATACGATCAGTGTGCATGAAGATGTTAATATCGTTTATAGTCATCATTTGGTTCGAACCATGGCGCCGACGATACGCTAGCCCCTCCTCATTTTGGTAGATAGTTCCATCAGTAGATTTGTGAACCTGTAGGAAGATCTGAGAATTAGCTCCAAAACAAGAATTGGAAGGGACTGGGAACTTGATATCAAGCACGACCGCAAACAAAAATATTTAGCAGAGGCTAACTCGCCAAAAACAGACAGAATGCTTAGCTTATTTTCCTTTCATGGTTCATGCGAAAATGAAACTTGTTTCGAAAACCTCTGCCTAACTACTTGTGAAGCTAGGACACTTTCCCAAAAAGAGATTCAGAATTAAAACTAGCTAAAAAAATTCCTCCCCCCCTCCCCCGCCCTCCAAATAAAAATTTCAAAACTAGATATGAAAAGGTTCATAAGTAAACGAGAAACCTCAATGACTATCAGGTAAAGCTTAGCCTCAAGACTGGCGTACTCGCAAGGGCAGGTGATCTGTCCAATCAAGTGCTGTCGCGGTCCTTCCTAAATCACGTAATCAAAACACATTCACCAACAATCGGCAACATTGCTTGTAAAAGATACTTTGGTTAACAATCTCTGGAACTCAGCTTCACTATCGTCATCATCAGCGTAGGCAATGTCTCCAGCGTCTGGATTACTTGGTGGCAATAGCTGTGTAGCAGTTTGCGCAATTTTAC